CGCCACACACACACACAGACACAGCATCTGGGGTCAAAGGCTCCTCAGGAACTGGCCTCACTTCCCTGGGTTCTGGGAGCCTCTGAAGCATCCGCCATGTCCACACAGCCCTGGGCAGCCTTAGCCCAGTGACGGGCAGACTCGGGGGGTTTTCTCTCCAACATCTAAGCTCTCAGCCTTCTCCCTCTCCCCGCCTTTCCAACACACCACCATCCTTCTGCCTGCCCCCTCCGCCCCAGCTGATCGTTTTCTGGGGCAGGACTGGGGGGACGTGTACCCCTCAGCCTTTTGTTGTCTCAGCCCCAAGACCTTTCTGCTTTTTAAGCCCCAAACCATGACGCCTTTCCTCTCCCAGTGCTTCCTGCCCAATCCCTTCCCGGAGGCAACAAGCTCCAAAGAGCAGAACTTGAGTACAGAGCTCGCGGGTCAGGAGGAGGCTCCGCAAAGGCTAAAAGGAAATGCGGATACAAACATGTCCCTTGATAGTTCAAAGACACTGTCTCCACATGCACACACTCACACCCCAACCAATCTGCTACAGCTTTGGGGCCCAATTCTTCCTCTTAGAGATGCATTATGGGCCCCTCCTGTATCGTTACATCTTTTTTGACCACATGCCATGCCATTGGACGGAGGTGCCAGCATTGACCTCGTGTACCCGGTGTTGGAGAAATAGGTTATTTCCAAGTCCTTCATATTGTAAATAATATTACAATGAACCTCCCACAGGCGTGCCACTCTCTAGCTGTGGGTTCAAAGACAAGGGCAAGAACGTCTCCAAGCCTCACTTTCTTGGCTTGCCTAGAAACGTTGGCAATACCTCCCAGAATCGTTGGAGGAGTTAAATGAGACAATGCTTGCAAAGTGCTCAGCAAATGCCTGTTCACGAAAGGATGCTAAAGATGATTCTCATGGTGATAATCACCCCACGACTCCTTACAAAGCCATGTTTTCCCCACAATAAACACCTAAAAGAGAAACTGCTGGGTTAAATGATACGTATATGTTCTAAGTCTTTGATAAATGCTTTGATTTACCCTCCACCTCCCTGCCAGAGCCCCCTCCCCGGGCTGCGGCATCTGTCTCCTACCTGTTGTGCCTGCAAAGGGCGCTCAGCTGCACCGCTAGTTGGAGAATTGCCCTTGGCCAGTGGGAGCCACCCCCCAGGAAGCGCTTAGAACAGTGGTCGGCAAACTGCAGCTGATGAGCCACATGCGGCTCTGTGGCCCCTTGAGTGTGGCTCTTCCACAAAATACCATGTGCGATTGAAACTTCGTGGCCCAGGTGCAGAAGTCGGTATTTTTTGGAAGAGCCACGCTCAAAGGGCCACAGAGCCACACGTGGCTTGCGAGCCGCAGTTTGCCGACCACTGGCCTAGAGTGTGAGCTTGTCCCTCAGGGCAGCCACAGCCAATGGCTGACGGACACAGGGTATAAAGGTGCGACCACCTGCGGTGTCACTCGGGCTCCATGGCTGTCCTTGGGATCGGGCTGAGAGCAGGCCTCAGCGGAGCCACACCTTTGCTGGGCGTCTTCCTCTGCCTCCCTTCACTTCCT